CTCACACCCTTGTCTCCAAACCTCTCTCACATCCTTGTCGCTACTGTCACCCACACCCTTGTCTCTAAACCTCTCTCACACCCTTGTCTCTACTGTCACCCACACCCTTGTCTCTAAACCTCTCCCATACCCTTGTCTCTACTGTCACCCACACCCTTGTCTCTAAACCTCTCTCACACCCTTGTCTCTACTGTCACCCACACCCTTGTCTCTAAACCTCTCTCACACCCTTGTCGCTACTGTCACCCACACCCTTGTCTCTAAACCTCTCCCACACCCTTGTCGCTACTGTCACCCACACCCTTGTTTCTAAACCTCTCACACCCTTGTCGCTACTGTCACCCACACCCTTGTCTCTAAACCTCTCTCACACCCTTGTCTCTACTGTCACCCACACCCTTGTCTCTAAACCTCTCTCACACCCTTGTCGCTACTGTCACCCACACCCTTGTCTCTAAACCTCTCTCACACCCTTGTCGCTACTGTCACCCACACCCTTGTCTCTAAACCTCCCTCACACCCTTGTCGCTACTGTCACCCACACCCTTGTCTCTAAACCTTTCTCACACCCTTGTCTCTACTGTCACCCACACCCTTGTCTCTACTGTCACCCACACCCTAGTCTCTACTGTCACCCACACCCTAGTCTCTACTGTCACCCACACCCTAGTCTCTACTGTCACCCACACCCTTGTCTCTACTGTCACCCACACCCTTGTCTCTAAACCTCTCTCACACCCTTGTCGCTTCTGTCACCCACACCCTTGTCTCTAAACCTCTCTCACACCCTTGTCTCTACTGTCACCCACACCCTTGTCTCTAAACCTCTCCCACACCCTTGTCGCTACTGTCACCCACACCCTTGTCTCTACTGTCACCCACACCCTTGCCGCTACTGTCACCCACACCCTAGTCTCTACTGTCACCCACACCCTAGTCTCTACTGTCACCCACACCCTTGTCTCTACTGTCACCCACACCCTTGTCTGTACTGTCACCCACACCCTTGTCTCTAAACCTCTCTCACACCCTTGTCTCTACTGTCACCCACACCCTTGTCCTACATCCCTCATCCCCACACTGTCCTTACTACACAAGTTCTTTGGTTAAGGTGGACTAACTCCCCCACTCAGCCATTTGCCAATAATCTGTGAAGTCAACAAGACTTTGTGGCATTGCATTATCAGATTTCTCAGTGTTGACAGTGGTTCGGAAAACTGATTTTGCTAATTACCTGGCCTGTTTTCAAACATAGATCCTTCTATCTTGTGACTCGGTCAAGGTCTCAAAGTAAAACTGGGGACAAAGCTTTTCATGTTCCGGGTAAAGCAATAAATGTTGGAGCAACAAGATCAATAGAGTTGAACACATACAAGATTGGGAAGTCACTGAATTGTAAAGTGAGTGCCACAGGGTGTGATCACAACACGGCTTGGTGGTTTACAGTGTCACAATACACCAAGTGCTTAACTTACAATGACAACGGAAAAAACTACCACAAAACCCTCTCAGTTGATATTGCTTAATCTAACATATTCTGCTAAAAATATTGTACAAAATAAGGTTTTGAATATTTGTACAAACAACAAACAAGTCCTTTTTCTCAATTTCCTGATTTAAGCAGACATTGTATCTTTGCCCCTATGGTCAAAGTCAGAAAACACAAAACAATTTCCACATTGACATAATCTGGAGTTATCTTGACTTGTTTGGTTCAAAGTTTTTTCTATCATATAAACCATACTCGATTATCGAGTTAATTAAACATGTTAAATGTCCATTCTATTATGATATTACCCATATGGGTACAATGTGTGAAGCCCATTTCTGGTGTCCCCCACCATGATATTGCTGCAATTTTGCTTAAAATGGTGTAAACCCATACTCACTCACTCACTCACTCTATTATGACATAAATAGCCATACAATCAAATTTCTCTCATGAGAAATTCTGTGTTTGGTTAGAGATAGTCCTGGAGGGAGTGACATCACTTCTGAAGCAAAACAAATGGGTCCAAGACAGTTCCAGCCAAAAAGAATGGAGACATAAAATTGTGCGGATGATTGTGTACGCATCACATGAAACAGTTAGTGCTTGCATTGATTATCATCCTAGTGCCTGAGGAGTGTCGCTGTGTTCCAACATTCAGAGAACCGAGGTGATACACAGACACAGGCCTAAGCCCTATCTGCCTGTCTAGTGGCTAGTGGCTAGTGCAATGTACATGTGCAATGAGTTGTACACACACTAAAATGGAAACAGTAAATGGATACTGGTTAATGTATGAAATACAATAAAATGGGGAACAATGTTATGCAGAGGGAGTTCCCCAACCATGGGGACATCTGGTCCCATGCTAATATTATCAATCAAAATTGATATTGTTTTATTATGGGCATATATCATGCAGATGGAGAAGCATGTTACAAACCTGACTTTGCATACTTTACAACAAAGGACTTTACTTGACTCTAGTTAGCTAAATCCAAATACTTCTAAGTACTTTTCAGTGTGCATTGATTTTAGGAATGTCAGGTTGACTAACTACAAAACATGTCTACAGAGGTTTGTTATACTGTAAAATAAATTAATGTATATGAAAGTGGAATAATATCCAAATATTGTTAAGACAATCCCGCTGTGTATGACATGAAATTGCAGTTTTTTGGTTCAAGTTTCATATTGTTTACCTTCAGTATAGTGTAGATTAATCTGTCAGAAAGAGACTAGACCTGTTAACTCCTCCGTATAGTCCTCGCCACTTGAAATAGAATCACGAAATATCATCATGATTAATTAACTAAACCCTTTTAAGTGAAAACAAGCCATTTTGTTGATGAGGAATATTACTTACAATAATCAGACAAAAACTGCATAGTGATTCATTTTGCTAGTGATTAACATCATCATTGCATAACAACCACATGGTTACGACACATTATTAGGGTCGAGCAATCATGTGATCAGAACTCAGTGATATTTCCCAGCATATGATTGGCAAATACTGTCCCACATTTTACATGTATGTCTGGACAATAATGGGAATAATTAATATACTTAAAACTGAATGTACTTTGACAAAATTCCTGCGATTATCACACCCTTGTCCCGTAAATAGACCATCCAACTTTTTGGATAACAACTGAGTAAGAAGTTGCTGAAAATGTCTTTACGATGGATTAGGATTACACTGAGATTCATAATTACCAGTCACTGCGTGTTGGAGATCAAAGATTTAAATATAATAATAAATTGAAATCAGAATAACCATTATCTTCTTGTAGGCTTGGTAGGAGATGAATAACATGTTAACCATGGTTATGGTATTAAACTCAGAGAAGGTAACACACTAGTAAACATACCAATGAGTAATCTGTAAAAATCTGTTAATCATCTAAAATGAAAATCCATGGAAAATATGAATTTGGAAATGACTGAAATGAAATTAGATTGCAAAGGTACAAGATAATGTTAATGATTCATATTATTGTTGTACTGTGTATATTATTTATTAATGACCTTTGTAGGACTTCCAGTAATTGAGCAATGTAAACTTTCACTATGTATAATGTACAACTTGAAATATTTCTCCATTACAAAGGTACTCTGTAACCTTGTATAACTGAAATTCTTAAATGCACGACATTCATGATATTTTACAAATTTAAACCATAACCCTACATATATTTGTAGAAATGCAAACTTTAATTTCTACCATATGTTTTTAGCCTGCACCCATTCTAGAAGAGGGTTTCTGATCAGTTCAGTTCCTGTAACCATGGTGTCATCCAGAATGTCCACCAGATATTTTGCAATATGTATTTGATGATATCATCATTTTGGTAATAAAGCTACACTATCAACATTATCAATTGGCAACATGGCTTCCTTTTCATCTTTCTATTCTTCAGTGAAAATTTCAAATGTCCTTGTTAGATGGGATCCTGCAGGTATTAGGTCTGTGATTAGGGCGACCTCAGTAGGATATGTGGGTGTGATGATGGTGGAATCCCATAGGAATATGTGACAGGGATTACAGTGGAATCCCATTTGGATATGTGACATGGTTTACAGTGGAATCCCATTGAGATATGTGACATGGATTACAGTGGAATCCCATTGGGATGTGTGACATGGATAACAGTGGAATCCCATTGAGATATGTGACATGGATTACAGTGGAATCCCATTGAGATATGTGACATGGATTACAGTGGAATCCCATTGGGATGTGTGACATGGATAACAGTGGAATCCCATTGAGATATGTGACATGGATTACAGTGGAATCTCATTGGGATATAAGACATGGATTACAGTGGAATCCCATTGGGATGTGTGACATGGATAACAGTGGAATCTTATTGGGATATGTGACTGTGATTATGTCAGAATCCCATTGGAATATGTGACTGTGATTACGATGGAATCCAATTGGAATATGTGACTGTGATTATGATGGAATCCAATTTGAATATGTGACTGTGATTGTGATGAAATCCCATTGGGATGTGTAACATGGATTACATTGGAATCCCAGGGGATATGTGAATGTGATTACAGTGGAATCCCATGGCGGTATATTTGATATGGATTACAGTTGATTAAGCTGAGACAATTAAAGTCCATACATGAACACGAAGATCTACTGATGTCAAGAGACATGTTTCGGCTTGGCCCATTGCCTCAACACGTTTGCCACAGACTGTTCACATTGCCTGTGCTGTAAGGTTAACCATTAAATGTCACATTGTTTTTATTGCGCGAGGGGGGTCATTGAATGGTTTGGATATCGTGAATCACTGAATGAAGGATTGTTTGTGCCTTTCATTACGATGTCGACCTTTATTCGGTTACTGCAACGGGGTTCCGACAGTTAGCAGCTAGACCACATAGCCTGTAGGCCTATACGTATATAAGAAACTCTTATTGTGAATTAATACGTTACGCTGACATTGCATGGTTTCGTGCGATTTACATGAGTAGTGAAGTAGATTACCTGTATCCATCTCTCCGTTTCATGAAGGGCCAATTCGGTAAAAAAATCCATTTCTTCGTCCTCCAGAAATTTTGCATCCCATGCATCGTTATCCGGTGTGTCTTCGGCCATTGTTTCCCTGCGCGTTTTGCCACCGGGTTGAGTGGGACAGAAGACCAAGCCCTGGCCAATGGCTAGCCTTGATCAACACCAAATCACAGCCTGCAGATGAGTGAGAATGTTGACGAAAATTCAATAAGTGATGATAGAAAACATTTATTACTCCAATGAACGACGATGTTGCACAAGACCTGACCCATGTGTATATCCTAAACGAAATTGCACTTCACACCACTTCGTGTCAACTCCAAATAACTTTCCCATGTGCACATTTTCAAAACATCACTCCACACCTCTCCACACTTGGCCTGACACGGTCCAGTGCGAAAAGTCACATGTCACGTGATACTTCTGAGCCCGTCCAGAGTAGGGGCGTTCACATCATAAAGTCGGTGTTTCGATTGTTATACCATTATGTTTATGACCCCTTAGCCCGACCAAAGAGCGTAAGGACACGGTATACCAGGTGGTGTATGTTAACCACCTTGTGTAATCAGCTGGTAATGACCACTTCAACTGATGAGGCAGTTCTATTGTGTCTTGACATTATTTATGCTAGTTGAAACTATAGATCTACTGCCCGATTGGAATATTGGCAAAGTGTGGCATTTCAGTGCAGACCAAGTGAATCGGCTACACGGATGGATCTCTACTGCTGGTGTGCATCTGACGGCAGATAGCACGGCCAATGCCTGCGGTTGAATATTGTCACCAATAGCCTATAGCTAAACCTGTCGGTGGAACAGTAAGCTAGAATACATGTAGCAATATTTGTCCATTATAACGTGTTTCAGGGTGCACTTACCCAGTTAACAGACAGCGATAATCTTGCTATACTCAACAAGTACTGAATGTTTCAGTTGTTGGCACATTGTCCAGAATAATGTTAAATAGCGATGCACTTTCACATACATTTTCACATACGACATAAGCCGTTTTCAGTATTTTTATCATAACACAGACCATATTCAGAGACAATTTACAACTTTTCGTGTCAATTACGTATATGTGTTCATTTTAAGATAACACGTTTTGATGTTTAACTATTCATATCATTATCAACAATATTCCAATGGTAAACTGCATTGCTCGTTTTTATGTGTTATTTTTGCTTTGGAACGTTTGACAACTGTTACTGTATCCCCCGTGTTATGGGTTTTCAGTACGCTAATCACAAGACCAACCGTAAACATCTCACTCACTTGAGGCCCACGGCAAACGAAACATGCGTTTACATGTCAATGACAAGAGCAAATATGTTCCTGTTCAGAACAATTTGTCATCCTGAGATAAATTGTGCGATTAAGTTTTTTATTTTTTCCCAGTGAATACTTGTGCTGCTAACGTAACAACGATGAACTAAACGAGCGTATAATATACGACCGCTATTTACAGCGAAGGCTGGGTGAACAATGGAGAGTCTCGGCGTATACTCTGATACGCTGAGTGATATTATATTTCATGCTAAATGTCAAGGGTAACTGAAAGTGTCTTTGGATCTGCTCTTTGTCTTGTTGGCCTCTGGTACAGACATGCGATACTGCGCTATCACTGGGTTCCCATTTCTGCGCAGATCTACTCTGCTAACATTGGACAATGGCTATTAGGTATCGGCTACCAAACTGGATTCCTGGAAACAACCTTATGAAATTGACGCGACCATTGTGAACATCTGAAGATCCTTGCGGTATCAGTCATAACACAAAACACATTACATGTAGATGACGATACCAGATCAACATACAGCGTACGTATATACTATCTACCTGACTAAATTTAGTCTATACTATTTAAAATTCAACTTAAAAACATCCGCCTTCGACCAAACCGTGTTGAGTACCACCGGCATGACGAGATAGGCCTGGGGCGCATGCCACAGCTGACCCTATACCAGGTCGTGCCCGGCGAGCTTTGGTGCAGCCTGGGGCCTAATGACGATAGCATATTATAAGCATTTATACGCATCTGTGTAATCACAGGATGTCTGGAGGCAAGTAGCATACCTGCTGAAGATTAGGAGGAAATCAATTTATACACAGGCAAAAATGTTAAGTACGCCTGAATGACATGGAGGTAGTATCAACCTATGATGGACATGACGCCCACGGGTGGGCAGACAACGTCAACATGCCAAACCCTTTCAAATTGTCGGCCATCTATAATATCACTCATAATCACGATAATATAGTACAACAGTAACACACTTCATAGTGATAATAGAAACACGTACACAAGCATGCTTGTTTTCGCTAATAAAGGAACAACGTTTAAAAGAATCACGACTTTTTGCTTCGACTTTTACTTCGCAGTAGTGATATTCGTTGGTTTACGCAGCCCTTACATCTAATCAATGGCCTTGTTGAGAACAGGTTATTCCCAGGAGCCTGCTGTAGTAGTGTGAGGTCATGTATGGTTGTGGAAGTGTTTTGTGTAGTGTGACCATGCTGGCCAAGCAGAGCAACATGTTGACATGGTTCTGTTCAAGGAACTGCACATTCCAGCTGTGTGCGGGCGGGCGATATCCTGATAAAACGCCATGTTTGGACGTTAAGGAATATTTCACCCCAAAACTTACTTTTCACCATCTATTCTTAAGTAATAACACATAATATTTTTACGTGTTTTTGCTTTTCATATACTTAATGTTAATTTTCAGTGGCATAACCCTTTAAGCAAGAAAATGAATGACAGCATAGACTTAATAGCCTGTATAACAGAATTGCTTTTATTTAGAATAACTGTTTAGCACGAATTGCCGGAATTTTACAATATTTGGATTATTAGGTGAGGTGAAATGGGGTTTAACGTCGCGTCCAAGATTATTGCACTTTTTGTATATAGCGACGTGTATGCACGTGTGTCTGTGTGTGGCTGCTTGTACCATTCCGGACTGATGCCGATTTATGGTGCTAACTCACTGAGATACCATGCCGCAGTTTAACATGAATACCCCACTCAGACACCGTATTCTGACTCCGAGCCGACCAATCCTTGTTTTAGCCGCTTAATGCCGAGTGCCAGACAGGGTAACAACAAGTACCATCTTTTAACGTCTTTTGGTATGACGCGGCCGGGGATTAAACTCCGGACCTTCCGCTCTCCGGGCGGACTCTTTACCACTAGACCACGGAGACGATTTGGTTTATTAAAGTAGTTTACAGGAATATATTTTGTATCACAGTGGAGTACAATGGACATTCAAGTAAAGAGTGATATTCATTAATTCTCTATATCTTTGCTTTTACCCATTTTACATAATCGTTCTGACCTTGGAGATATATCGCCCAGTTTCTATGTATAAATCAGGGGATGAACATCGAAATCTTGCCATTGAATTTCGGTATTTATTTATATTTACATAAAGCAGACACTGTTCACTGGATATATGCGTTTTCCACATTCTATACCAAACATTTTCCAAACCATTATTGAATAACTATTTTTTTCACACTAGGTATGCAGTTATTCTTTCCATTCGTAATACTATTACATCATCATATTGTAACAGTTCTTAGGGCATCTCGATGAATTCATTTTGATAAGTACTTTATAACTTTTAGCTGTAAATATATACATAGAGGAAATCTACCACATTCTCCATAAACGCTAGATGTACTGTGTTTTACATCAAGAAATATTTTACATGCATACAAGTGAACCTTTCCTATATAGTTAAATCGTTAAAACCCCATGTTTCAGGACCGTAAACATAAAAACTCTCAAAGAATTACTTGTAACTCAAATTCAACAAGGAATTTGTATATTCTAAAATATACCCAAGGAAACCGTGGCCTGAACTGATGCTTCTCCTGCATGTAAAGATCAAATTAGATTGTTACTGCCATAAACAACCAAATAGTTTTCGTGTGTAGTTACATTCAAAGGAACATCTTTTTAATTTTTGGCAAGTTTATAACTATTATTGAATACCATAACTTTAGGTTTGACTCTTTTAACAATGAGTTTCCATAAATCACAGTACTTTCTGAACATCAACTTGCTCTTGCAAGTCACCAGCTACGTTTGAGAACTGGCATGATAATATCATCTGCCAATAATGAAAGAAAGAGTTGAACAACAACTGAATGTAACTGAATACAGTTTGTACAACAATTATGGATTTATGTACAATATTTATGATAATAAAAACGGACTTACTATCATTGGTGCACGCCAAATTGGCATTCAAACATATCAGACATTAAACACTTGTCTCGTACACAGGTTTTAAATTTTTTCATATATACTAAATAATAATTTCACCATTTTGGAACTAAGTCCACGAGCATTATATGATCTCCATAATTTACACCTGTGTATCAAATGAAATGCTTTAGAGAAGTCAACACATAATGCATAAAACTTGTCTATAGCGCTGTATCTATACTCACACGCAAAAGAAACGCAAGTCGAGTATGCAGTATACATGTTTATTTATTTTCAACAGTAAATACAAGAAATACTAATAGGGCAAGATTGACAAAAATTTGACTGAAGACAGTTTAATGGATTAAAAGGCAGATGACATAATTGTTTTTTTCAAATGTTAAGGGCTAAACAGTTTCGGGTCAATACCCCAAAATGTCAGTCAATACCTGGAGTGACCACCATTAGCATTGATTACTGCCACACATCTCCTGTACATTGAGTGGATCAGACGATTTGTGAAGGCCCTAGGGATCCTCCTGCACACATCCAGAGCAGCTGTGCGTAGTTCATCGGCAGTTGTAGGGAATGGCCGCACATTGTGCAGACGCCTTGAAACCTCATCCCACAACTGTTCGATAGGGTTCAGATCACGGCTGAGGGCTGGCCACGGTAGAACACGGATGTTGTGTTGTTGCAGAAAGGCCATGGTAGCTCTGGCAACATGGGGACGAGCGTTGTCCTGCTGGAAAATGTGTTGTGGATGTTGTGCAAAAAAATGGAACAACGTGGGGTCTGATCATTTGGTCGATATACCGCTGAGCAGTGACGCCGTGTCACCGACCTTGACCAACATTCAGAAAGCAAATGGGTCCAAGTCTCGCATTAAGTCCAATCCCTGCCCATATCATGACGCTAGGTCCACCCCATGGATCCCTTTCCACAACGTTTCTGTCAGCGAAACGATCACCTCGACGCCACCAAATTCTGACCCTTCCGTCTGCATGAGAGACACAAAAGCGACTTTCATCAGAGAAGATGACACGCCTCCACTTGCGATGACGCCAATTGTGATGACCCTGTGCCCACTGAAG